TTGCGTAGACACAGTACAGTACAAGGATATGACAATGTTTATTTATAATTGTTATGTATTAACAAGAGCAGTAATTGTATTTCACTCCTCCGCTCGATCCTCTCTCCTCGACTCGTGGACGCAGCCGGATCTGCGCTGTCAACCGTCAAACGGAGGTTGTAGGTTTACGGCAGTTGCTAGAAATCTGGTGAATTAGTGTAATGAAGTTATTTACAAATGAGATGAGATTATTTACAATGAATGATTTGTTGCCTGGGAGCTATGGTAATGATTCGCTCAAGCTTTAAATTGTAATTATACAGGGCGGGTTTTAGGTTATGTTTTCCTCGTGCAGGAAGGGAGGTCTACGTGAAGCGTAAACGTTCTGGTCGGGGTTTGAATAAGGGAGAGTTCTCAGGGTTACCGAGGTACTGGTAGAATGGTAATTTCAACGACGGTGATAAACTCGACCATACGTTGGGCTAACAGGAATGGATTACGGTAAGGGTGGATACACTACAACGACAGTGATTAACTCAAACCATACGTTGTCCAGGGATGGGATTGCGGAAGGACTACAACGACGGTGATAGACTCGACCATACGCTGAAGCAATTAGATGGAATCGGGTTGTTATTTGCGGGGTTGATACAGCGACGGTGATATACTCGACCATACGCTGAATCGGAATCTGGAAGGGTGGTAGAAAGAACAATGGTAAATATTATAATTCAGGCGTGGATCTCGGGTGATCGTTTATAGTTGCAGGATCTGGGATCTGATCTCCATTTGGCTGTGCTCTTGTTTATATACACCTTACCGTTGTAGTGGGGTAAGGATAGTGGCAGGGATATCTGCGCAGTCAAATGTTTATATGGAGTGCTCCTGCCCTCTCTTGCCCAAAATTCGCATAATTTTTAAAAGATTTTATACGAAATCTGAATTATAAAATTACTGAATTTTTTAATCCTTACAACGTTGGATATGAAGCGTTGGTTAGATACATAAGGAGCTTGTTTGGTGTACCTAAATGACGTCATAGTTATTGAGCGTACGTTCAATGAATACCTTAAGAACTTGGGAGACGCTTTTCAAAGATTCAGGAGTGCCAACTAGCGACAAAATACGAAGAAATGTATCCTCTTTCAATGAGAAGTGAAATATCTCAGATGAAGATAGTTCGAGAGTGGCCCAAACCAAAGGGCAAACGCGTTTTGCGAAGTTTTCTTGGACTATGCGCATAATATCGCCGGTATGTGAAGGGTTTTGCTGATTGCAAAATCCGTTACGAAACTTACGGGAGCAGGCAAAACCTTTAACTGATATGATAACTCCCAGCGTAACTTTGAGACACTTAAGAGGGTTTTAATTACTGCACCAGTGCTTAGTTATCCAAAGATGAGGGAAGATTGACCCTTTACACTGATGCGAGCAATGTTTGACGTGGTGCAGCACTATCACAAATACAAGACGGCCAAGAAAAATAAGATTTCAGCAGTCTTGTCCAAACCAGAACGTAACTATTATTACGCGCAAAGAGATGTTCCTACTAAGAATTGGTCATGCTGCATTACGGTGGTTGCTGCAATTCAAGAATCCGGAAGGCCAAGTTGCCCGGTAGATAGAGAGATTGGCAGAATATGATTTCTAGACGAAGCATCAAGCTGGTTGAAGTCATGGAAACGCTGATAGCTTGTCAAGAAGGTCATGTCCCAACAACTGCAGGCATTCTGCTAGAAGCCAAGCAGAGGGATATTCAGTCGATGACGATTGGATTGCCCATCACTTAGGCAAGATGGCAACCTCGATCTGCAACACATCATAGTGCAATGGACAATTGTAGACAAAAAGTCCTCCTGGGAATAAGCGGCAAAGTTTAGGCCCACTGTATATTGTGCTCAGTGGGACTGTGGGACAGTGGGAATGGTGGAAAGGTGATTGTGTCGGATCATCAATGTGGCTGGGTTCAGTATTTTCATATGATTTAATGGCCATTAGATCTGCAGTACTTGAAAGTCCGGGACAAAATTCGGCCTCTGTGTTCTTTGGTAGGGATATCCGATTGCGCTGACATGAAATTTGACATGAGACCTGGGGAAGCGGAAGTAGTCAATTGTCAGTAGGTACAAACTTAGTTCTATGTCCAAAGCTCTACGTCCAAAGTCCTATGTCCAAAGTCTTATGTTCAAAGTCGGTAAAGATCGCACATGCAGCATCCCAAGAGCCATGGCACATGACTCCACTGGCAGGAAGGTTTGTAATGGCATTGTCTACGAAGAGCGAGGCTTGTTCGACGTCCTGCTGAATATTCCATAGGCCATTGTATTGTAAAAGACGTGAGATGCTGTTAATTTAAGCTCCGTTTTGGTCATCTAAGGGAATACTCCTACAGGGTCCACAGAGGTGTTTTCTGAATGCCCACGGAAGATTCCTGTATTAGATTGTTACTAAAGATAAGTTCAGCGACTATGCATCGGAAAACTGGCGATTTTAAAATTTGGCTGTGGGTTGAACCGGTTTGATTGTTGTACCTACACAATATGCTGGAGATTATATCTGGCGACATCGATACAGAGATACTGGTCTGTAGTCTTGGTATTAAAGACGTTATGGAGCCAACCTGTAAGACTGTTGACTGCTTCTTCTTTGTCAAGGGGAGATGCACCAAGGGCGATGAATGTCGGTTCTGCTACAGAAGAACAATAATCCAGAATACTCTTGCATTTAGGAAATAGTGCGAATTGTAGCTGGACGCAACATTCTTAACGAGGGGACAGTGTACCGAAATTGCAGTCGCCAAGACGACCAGGATATTGACTGGAACATTCCGTCATAGTCTTGAAAGGGAGAGAGATAAATACATTTTGCTAATTGTTATAATTTTCATTACAAATAAGGTACACGTTTGTCACAGTAGTTCGTTGCAAGACATTTTAGAACATTATTTTACTTAATTTTCATCATCGAGTGTGTTTTTTTTTGTCTGTGACCAACGTTAATTCTTATGACTCTTGCTAAAAGTACAATTGTATGTATTTATAATCGTCATCTACAAAAAAAAGAAAAAATATATTTCTATATTCTAATTTGGTTAAAATTCGAACCGTGCAATATTTTATTCCGATGGAATGTGCAAATATGGAGAAGTAGATCAAATTTAATTTTTTTTTCGAATTTTGTCAATAAAAGATTGCGACATCTGAATTCAAATTTGACTTGCAATTAGAATAACTTAATAACTTGGTAAGGTTGCGTTTCCTACTAGCGATTCAATATTACGCAAGAAATTTATGAAAATATTCCTTCTTGATTCCAAATTTAAATAAAATGTGCTTCGAATGTTAACACAATTGTTGCCCCAGAAAAATGAATGTAGCGACTCTACGGAGATAGTGGGATGATCACGTTCACTTTACGATATGGGGTGCTTCCCCGATTATGCCTTAATTGTGTATTAAATTAAGATCTCTTTTACTGCCTTAGCTCTTGAAAGTTGAGATGTGGGAGAAACATCGGTTTACTACCTCAAATAAAGGATTTCACTTTTCATTAAAAATTAATAAGACCCTTACCTTTGTACCTTCTCGCATACGTAAGGGGGCAGGCAGTACTCACTTTCCTGGTCGCAGAGTCCTAGCGGCGCGGCGCAATGAAAAAACCCGGTTGGTTAGAATTTAGAAATCAGGATACCTCCGTGTGTTAACATTCCATTGTAAATTTTACTCTGAATGATAGTGAATGATTTTTGTAAATCGGGAATACTCGGATTGATCAACAAATACCGAGATTGTCTCTCACCAATTTGAGTGAGGTCAACTCGGAGGTAAAAGTAGAACTGACGTAGCAGATATACAAGGTGTTCATTTCAAAACTTCCCACACCCAATATCTCAATATCTGGGTATTTTCTAAAGAAATCCCGAAGCACGTGGACATAATGTTATAGAGGGGGATAACTGCTTTAAAAATGTGGTGACTCACCCCCTCTTACCCTTTGTCCCCGGAAGAGAATTTTAAATGAAAAATTTGAAATGTCTCTTTTCACCACACATGCTAGGGTTAAATTTTGTAAATTCGAAAACCATTGTCCAAAATACTTAGTAAACATTTTTGCATTTTTAAGTACCCTTAATATTCACAGTTAAACAGTGTAATTGTGTTTACGTCTTAGACCATTATAGTACATGGACTGCTAATTGTAACTAAAATATGGTCAAGGACATCGCCTGGGTATGTGAGTTTCAGGGTAAACGAGTCTGTCCGAAGTTGTCCGATTAGACACGATTTGAGACTCTCATCCTATAAATTAACAAACGTCAATTAATTAATCGCCTAGATATGGCAAAAAAGTAAACCTATTCTTATTTGGGGACGTATAGAAGATAATCAAGAATATTTAAAGCTTCCCGTACCACGCCGTTACCACAAAAGCTACTCTTTACGCGATCTGAGTGGTCTTCATACGACTTTAATTCACCCTGACCCTGAGATTCACATACCCACGACTACAGTGCCCTCTATCCTTGACCACCCATTTTGTATTGAAAGCATAGGGCTAATAGCAGTCCATGTTTCTATTTATTGAATTCATATTTTTCTGGTTTGCCATGGACTTGCTATTTAGTGACAGTGTGACAAGCAAGAAAGTAACTTAACTGTGTATACTTTAGGTGAAAAGGTTGAAATTCTGTTCATTTATGAAGCCGAAAGTCAAAATTCATTATTTTGGTTACCGTGCATACATTTAGACGGGCGATCGAAAATGAGTGGCGGTCCAGTCGCCTTTGGAGGGTAAAGTTGAGTACGATTCCAAAGGTGACGCGACTGCAACTCATTTTTGATCGCATAGTAGAAAATCCTGAAACAGATCAAATTGAAATTATAATTTCAAAATGTTATCCCTACCTTAATAGTATATTGAAAGACAAGTGTTACAATGCGACCTATTGTAATACGACTATCTTGTGGCACGAGTGGCGACGCGAAGCGTAGCCACGAGTGTCCGCAAAATAGGAGTATTACAATAAAGCATTGTAACACGCGTATTTCATACTATTTTTTCTATTTCGGTGCTTTAATTTAATTAAAAAAATCATTATCAGAAACTATAGCGAACATTAGAACTAACATGTTTTATGTTGGGAACACCTTTTATGCCGTTAAGTTTTAGGTTGGCAGCGTAGTAAGACTGACATTTTGAAGTTCAAACATGGAAGTACCCAACGAAGTACCTACTTGTACTAACTAGTAACTGCCAACTTAAGAGATTAGTTACCAAAAAAAAACGACTATAATCACTGTCTTTGTACAACTGTTTTCGAAAACAGTTGTACAAAATCATCATTATGACACCGAAATAGAAAAACTCCCTTGGAGTGATAGTCACAACTACCAATTTTTTTAATGGGAAGCATGGGATTGTAATATATCGTTTGAATGATCTCTTCATTCTCTATCCAAAAATGTTATTGGTTCACAAATTTATATCATATGTGATGGGTAGTACCTATGCCTTTTGGTTTCGATACGGCGCACCCGGCTATTCGGCACCGAGCCGACTGCTGGCAACCGCTTGCCCAGCATTCTATTCTCTGCTACAGCGACTACTACTCGTATTATAGACACCGAGAGGACTACATCGGGAAAAATACCGGCCAGGTGTGAAGACTGAAGAGTTTTAAATCGTTGCCTGCCCGGAACGTGTGTAGCTAGAGTTACAAGGCCCGGTGGCAAATCTTTGAATAGGTTTTGGGGTGTGCCCTTTCCGATTTTTTACAAACATTTTTTCAAAATTCCTACCACGAAACGGCGCACTCCTAAATGGGGCGAAAAAAATTCTGATTTCGACAAAATTTGGTACCTGTGGGTTTTTGAACATGAAAATCACGAATCTGAAATTAGTTTTCAAAAATTAGAAAAAAATTCTACTGCAATTCATGGCCGGGCAACTAAAATGGAG